CTTGTCCTTCTCGTGTGTCCTTCTCTTGTCCTCCAGCTGTCCTCCTGCTGCCGTCCTGGCGAACCCTGTGTCCTTTTTCCAGTCTGTATGGGTGGTTATTGGCAGGGGTGCAGAGTGGATATTATTGCATTTTGATTGTTGTTTGAGATTCTCAACCCGCAGCCGATGCATTGCGCCTGCCATAATTCTGGTCCTCCTGGTGTCCTCCTCCTGCTTCTAGTGGCCACGTTTGCAAACCCTGCGTGTCCTCCTGCTGTCCTCGTGCCACGGCTGCAAACCCTGTGTCCTCCTTGTGTCCTTTGTCCAGGTCTGGCTGTCCTGCTTGTCCACGTTGTCGGCCCTTTTATCACCGCCTTGTCCGGGTGTCCCTGCCGCTTTTTCTTTGTATGTTTTCGTGTGGCTATGAATGCAACAGTGTTACATGTGATAATACAGCGGTTGAAATGCGATATCACCCCGAATTTTCTCATGACATATATCTGATGTCCCATCGTTTTGCACATATGACCCCGGCATCAGGAACTAGTGTTTTCAACTATCTATTGTTTGAGCGCAGTCTCCAAACAACTGGAGTATAGAACAGTACACTTCGTTTTCACGGAGTTGACACGAACCACGCCGACGACCAAAAATAATGCTGACTCATTTTGGGGTCTACGCTGGTAAAGTTGAATGGTATGGGTATGATGTACAAAAGCACGAGACATAAATGTATAATTGTCCTCCTTTGGGAGATTTAACCAAGCAAAAGGAGTCTTACGTTCGAGCAGCGGACCGTTAAGTTCACCACAGTGCAAGGCCTCAGAAATCAGTTCATCTGCGAAAACGGTAAAGCGGACAGTGCAGCAGCAGCAGCAGAGAAACAATAAGAAACATCCCTCGGCTATGTCACAAGAGAACGCCGCGTGGAAAGTTCAAAAGAACTGCAAAACCAGGCGCACATCGCCACTGGACACGTGGGCCTGGCGCAAGTTGCACCCACAAGCCCGTTGATAGCCACCAAGGTTTCCCACCCCGAAGCCTTTGTGGTTTGCTGTCATCAAAACAAAAGAAATCGGCCCATGTCCTCCTGCCAGGCGGCTAAGCCACCTTTGGCGCTTGCTCTGTGCACTTTCGCCGCCCTTTGGTTGAGAGTGCCTGAGGAGTGCCTCTGACGACGTTCTGCTGGACTTGGAAGTCACCCCTTGTTGTTCTTACTGTGCTTCGGGTAGGTGAAAGTTCCGCTTCAAATCATTCAAGACCATTCAAGTACTTTGGGTGGTCCTGCTTCAGGGTACTCGTATCTTGGAAGTCACCATTCTCGCACTTTGCACTCCAAAGGCCCTCCTTCACGCACTTACTCCTATTGCAGTTGACGTAGACCTGCGTTCTTCGAAAGCTCGAATGTCGTCATTCATCCTTGCCTCCGTCGGGGTGGATGCTAAGAGTTTTGTTTCCGCAACGGTCACTGGGAATCTACCACTAGCATCACTAGCCGTGTCTTAACTGCCATGCTCTCCTGGTGGTTCCCCCTTGCCGTCCCCTGCCTATTTCGGGTAGTTGCAATGTCAGAAAGGTGCAATAGTCACAGTTCTTGATTTTGGCATTGCACATGTGTTATGTGTCCGCGTGCCTCCTGCATGTTCGAGCGGCTGCCGGAGATCTGCTTCAATGCAGCTTGGAATTGTTGGAAATAAAGTATAACGCATTTGCAAAGAAAAGCTCGCTCCCTGTAAAGAAGTTTTTCCCCAAACAGTTTACTGTTGGGGTTCTATCTTAGAAAGAAAAGAGCTGGCCACACTCACTGGCCGTGCCCCTGAACTCTGTGGCTGGGCTCTGTGGCTGGGCCTTGTCCTCCTCTTGGCCACGCCCCCCTAGGCCTCCAAGTACCTTCTGAGGTGGGTTTGGAGGGTCCAGTCATACCTTCTGAAGAGGTACTTGGAGGTGTAGGGTGAGGACATATGGGGACCGCCACGGGGACATAAGCACCACGCACCACGACTCTCGGACGATGAAGTGCCTGGATTCGGCCCACACATCCGAGCACGGACGTGCGAAGGAAACAAGAACTGTCAACTCTGTGGCTGGGCCCGTCCTCCTCTCGTCCTCCTCTTGGCCGCGCCCCTGAACTCTGTCAACTCTGTGGCTGGGCTCTGTGGCTGGGCCTTGTCCTCCTGCTCTTGTCCTCCTCTTGGCCGCCCTGGAACTCTGTCAACTCCGTGGCTGGGCTCTGTGTCCAGGCCTTGCCCTCCTCTTGTCCTCCATTTGGCCGCGCCCCTGAACTCTGTCAACTCTGTGGCTGGGCTCTGTGCCCAGGCCTGTTCTTCTCTTGTCCTCCTCTTGGCTGCGCCCCTGAACTCTGTCAACTCTGTGGCTGGGCTCTGTGGGGCGCGCTCTGACATACGCCCCAGAAAGGCGCGCTCAGAGCGCGCTCTACAGAGAGAAAGACAGAGAAAGATAAACTAAAAGAGAGAGAGAGAGAGAGAGAGCGAGAGAGAGAGAGAGAAAGAAAGAAGGAAAGAAAGAAAGAAAGACAGCAGGGCCAGCGCGCGCGCACTCGTGTGCTATGTGGAGCGCGCTCACGCTCCACAAAGGCGCGCTTACAGCGTTCTGCAGAGAGAAAGACAGAGAAAGACAAACTAAAAGAGAAAGACAGACAGAGAGAGAGAGAGAGAAGGGCGAGCGCGCGCGCGCGCGTGTGCTATGGACGGCTTACTGGCCTTGCTGGGCTCTGTGGCTGGGCCTTGTCCTCTTCTTGTCCTGTCTTGTCCCTGTCTTGGCCGCGCCCCTGAACTCTGTGGCTGGGCTCTGTGGCCCGGCTCTGTGTCCGGGCTCCTCTTGTCCTTGTCTTGGCCGCGCCCCGGTCTGTGTGGCCCGGCTTACTGGAGAGGAGCGTGGCCGAACAAATAGCGATGTCAATGCCGACAAAATTTCATTGATGAAGCAGTTTGCTCTTGGGGTGAAAGTAGGGCCAGGGCGTACCAAGAAATCGATTTTTGACTAATATTGGTCTAAACGAATCGTTTTGAAGCTGTTTGGGATCTATGCTTGTATAATTGGTTACACCCGCCCAGTCCTATTTTCCAAAAGAGCTGGCCACACTGGCTGGCCGCGCCCTTGAACTCTGTGTCCGGGCTTTGTGTCCGGATTTCGTCGTCCTGCTGTTGTCGTTTGACCTCCTATTGTCCTCCTTTTGTCCTCCTCTTGCGCTTGTCTTGTCCTCCGCTTTTCCTCCTCTTGTCCTTCTCTTATCCTCCTCTTGTCCTTCTCTTGTCGTCCTGGAACTAGTGCGTTCAAACAGTTTTTGGCCAGGTGCAATTCCCAAGGAGGCTTTAGAAAAGTGTACTTGCAGGTTCCACCAACATTGGAATTCACGGAGTTGATGCCGACGTCAAAGAATTTTAAGAATGCTGACACTGTTTGGGGCCTATGCCGGTAGAACTGCCATGGCCGCGCCCCTGAATCCTATGTCCTGTGCTTTTCTCTTGCAAACCCTGCATCCTTCTTTTGTCCTCCTGGTGTGCTCCTGCTGTCCTCTGGCCACGCTCGCGAACTTTGGGTTCTCTGCTTGTCCTCCTCTGGGCGAACCTGTGTCATCCTCTCGTTCCCCAATGTGGCCAATGTGGCCACGCCGTGGGCTTTCTTTTCCACCTTGTCCGGAACTTGCTGGGGGCCCTGCGTTCTACTTGTTCAGGCGTGTTTTTCGTGTGGCTATGAATGCAACAGTGGTCCAGAATTTCAACTTTGATATCATCGGATTTTCTCATGACATCCCTTTGTTTTTGACCCAGGAATCAAGAACTATTGCTTTCACACAATGCCGTTCCGAAACAGCTGGAGGCTATAGGAACAAAAATACAGACGTTGCCCCGAACATTGGAATTGAAAAAATTGCCGCGCCGCACAAAATGATGCTAACAAATGCTAAAACTGCTTGGGGTGCATGCTGGCATAATTTACTCACTGGTGGGTTCGACATCAGTTGCCAGGTGCGCACTTCACTCCAATCTGGCTGCGGTGTATTTGCAGGAGGCCATTTGCGCGAGTAAGTTGCCATCCTACTGTCACTTTGCGGGTCCAATTTTGACTGGGTGCCCGTCTTCAGTAGCAATGCGGGCGAACATACCAAGAAACACCAGGCTGCATGCAGCCTTCACAACCTGTTTCTTTGTCAACATTCCGCTTATCACCAAAACAACACTGTGCGCGCATATCACGGAGCCAAGGGAGGGTGCGTATTGGGATAATCGGATAATCATGGTTTGCTTACTAACTTACAAGTACTGGTGCCAGTGTATGATCAGTATTAGCATGTTTGCGTTCAGGACCGTTTGCAGCAACAATATGAACCATGCCCTTCTTTTTCAAACATACTGTAGGCCTGCATGACCCCCCACACCCGGCTAAGCCAAGCTCTTTACGGATCAATTGTGCGTTGCGGCACTATTTGTAGCCGCCGTTGTCCGTCCCCATCACAATTTGTTTCTGCTCCGAACTTGCACCCACTTTTTGCCATTGCATCACCTTCAAAAAGCGCCGTGTCGGCCTTCAAGTGTGGGGCTTTCCTGCAGACCTTGAGATGGCCCACAGCAGATCAAACCCAGGATCCAAGTGGGCCTATGACCCAGGCATAATATATGCTGTATATATATATATATATATGATGGCAGCTGACTAGTCTGCATATGTTCCCAGCTTTGAAATATTCTAGCTTTGGGTGGCTTGAAGTCGCGTTTAGACTCAACACTTCCAAATGTGCAGTCGATGCAACAAAAATCCTCAAGCGCAACAGCTTCGTGCACCGCATCATGAAAAAATGTTCCAATGCGCTTCATGATGGTATTTCGCAATTGGAACCAGCACAAGTTGCACTCTATTGTGACAAAACATATGTGGAGCCTAGAGTTATCAATACACAGATGTACCATGCAGTCAATCGAAATATTTATTTTTATACGATCACCTTGCCTCTCAATAAATTAGATGCATGAGTCTCACGTGGGGATTTTCATGTTGTTCAGTACAGGGGTTTCTGTTGGATCACTTGGGGCTTCACTTGATCCCGGCTTTCTCCACTTAATTGTGACGAATCTCCTTGATATATTGTTCCCAACCCCCCTCCAGCACAACGAAATCTGCATCTTGTGAATCTTGTGTTGTATCCGCTACTAGAACCTGTAGTGTGCAATACAGCGATCGCAAGCTACACAACCTACCCAACCCTGCCCAAAGCTTTGCTTTTTCTTGTTTCTGTCTGTCTTTCAAGCCTACCGAAGGCTTTTAAGTCTATATTATATGTTTGTTTGACTTCTTTTCCTTGATCCTGAGGGGCTTCTTTTTGACCCCTTCTTGCTTTTTTGGATCCCTTAAATGGATGGGTCAGACCTTGAAGCCAGAACCAGGGCCACCTGATTGTTCCTTCATCCTGGTCAATGGCTTTGCCTAATTTGGAAACAGAACTGACCAGACCCTTCGAGGAAGCATGTTGACATTGCTGTGCCAACAAAAACCTGGGTGGGTGTCTGAGGTTGGTTCACTGGCTCGTTGGTGGGTTGTGGCAACGATGCATTGGAGCATGGATGTACAGTGGATTCAATGCTAACTTTGTTGTTTTGCGTTTTGTGGAGGTGCCGCCAAGATGGACTGAAGCCAAAGCTGCTTCAGACATTGCGCTGACAATAAATCCCGAACATGCGAGGCACTTGGCAAGGGATGCACCAGTTCATTTTATTATTACAGTATTGTCAAATTGTCATGTGTTTTTTTGTGTTTTGAGGGGGTAGGCCGAGTAGAGGTTGTAGCTAGAGGTAGCTAGTATCTTAATAAGTAGCTACTACCGACAGGACGCAGGATAGCTCACGCTTCTTCAAGGAAGCTCCCCCCGCACTATTCATTTGGTTCCTAGATTTTTGGGGAAACTTATTTCCACTGTCTTGTTGAATCACTTTCAGAGTATCAACTCTTTGTCCAAGGTCAAGGCTAGATTCAGGCGTGCGCAAGCAATTCTTCAGGAGCTGGTTCAATTGCAGAAACAACTGTAGCTGAACACAGAGATGATTATGCAATTGTTTGCTTGCACTAGGACAACAGAGAAGGACTGCCTGAGCAGGTAGGGGGAATGAAATGTGCAACTCGCTTTGAACCCCATTGCGCTCGATGCTCGCTTGTTGAGGCTCTCCGAGAAGCCTTGACTGATTTGGAGGCTGCACAAAAGACTGAGCCCTGACCCAATCGAGATGCTTGTCATCTTCAGAGAGAGACAGAGCCCGACTGTGTCTCAGAGGCCTAGCAACCTGCAAATCAAAGATGAGGCCTTCCACAATTCGTGAGACAGCTTGCTTCCTTAAAACCTCCCACTTTTCCCAGCTGATCAGGTGCTGCGAGTTTCGCGCCGAATTCAACGTTTGGACAGCCAGCGGACTTTGCCACCAGCCAAGGAGGCCTTAATATTGGGTCGTCGTGTGGTGTAAGAGCAGTGCAAAAGAGCATAGGGTTGCCTTGCATGTGTAACATTTAGGCGTGTTGGGAGAATTTGCCAAGCTTGCTTGCCTTACACAGATCGTGAAAAAATACATTGCTGCATCTTTGCTTGATCGCGGTGGTGACTGTCTTGATTCTTTGGGTTACGTCAGACCCTCAGTTTGTGCAGCTGTCGCGACGTACATGCACAATCGATCGACGGTTTGAGGTGTGGGGTCAAAATGAATCTTTCGTTCATATCTTTGTACCTGCTCAAGGGCAAAGTGAGCAACTCAGTTTAGGGCTTACCTTCTTTTTCGTATTGTTTTTCAGATTGAATCGGCATGAAGACAGCCACTTCATCAAGGACTGTCCAAGAACACGCAAGTCCAATGCGAGGCGCAGGGCCACTTGGGTCAGAGACTCGTCACTTGCGTCAGAGCCAGAGCCACTTGGGGTAGCTGCACAATGTGGCGATTTGCAGATGCAAAGCCAAAAGCTATCACTCAAGCTTCTTGGTACTGATGGCCAAGTAAGGTGGGGAACTCAACTTTGGCTTTGCGTAGTATCTCACGAGTACAGATTACCCTCTTGAAAATTGATTATCATGCGAAGCGGCAGCTCCTACAGTACAAGAATGTATTGATTATGTTCTTTCACTTTCCTTCACCTCAGTTGGCCATGCAATGTGGAAGCTTTGTCAAAGCAATTTTGACAGTTGAATGCTCGAGGTTGAATATAGATGCCAGCTTGCACAAGTCAGCAGGATGCTCAGCCTCAAGGAGCAGTTGGAAGAACACAGCTTCAGAGTATCGTCACGCGTGTTCCATTTGTTTGCACACGCTTGCACACATGGACAAAGCTCAGACCCGAAGCTGCAACCTGATTGCAGGTCCAGCCGGACGAGAGTTCCTGGCAACTTGAGGAAGGCTTCACCAAGAATTGATCTCCACTCATTGTGCAACACCCTCCATCTTTAATGGAGCAATTCAAAGTGCCTCGCCAGTTTGCATGCTAAATCATGTCACTGAGGAGTTGAAGCCTGCAATCATGTCTCTGGTTCAAACATCAATATGTGATATGATACTATATATACACATATGTATCATATGTATCATGTGTATATATATAGGTTTCAGACAGCAAACCAGCTTGCCAAACACCACAAGATGTCAGCTGAGAAGTTCAAGCCCCTGGCACTCTGCGCTCTCAAAATGCCCGCCTTTGAAGAAATAGAGTTGACCCGCAGGGGGGCCTCGATGCGGCCTCGATGCGCATTCAAACCAAAATAGAAACATAGACCACTGGTCCTGCAGGACTAGCTGTGCGCAGTTGCTGCCCAAACGCAGGCATAATTATCAATCAACATGTTGCAGTTGAGTAAAAGGTCGGCATTAATATACCCTAGGCCCTAGGTTCATTGAGAGCCTCTTATGATGTTCGCAAAGGTCGTTGTTGTTGTCATTGTTGTTATTTGTTTGTTCTTCTTGTTCTTTCCAGTTCGCGAAAGTAATGATTGTTAGGGGAAAGATCTGCTAAAGATTTGTTTGTGCGAAGACCTCTAGGATGATGTACCCCGTGCGAAAGTTAAGCGCGGAGTTCGTGAAAGATTCGCGAAAGTAAAGAGGTGGCTCTGCGTTTTGTTTCCTTGGAGAATGTCGTTTCCATCAGAAGGAATTTAGATCAACCACCTTTTGAGTAAATTGGCAACGGCAACAAGCAGGGAGTTCAAGAACCAAAGCCAAGTAAAAGACATGCAAGTTCAAAGCCCTATTTTTTATACGAGTGAGCTGTGTTGGTGGTGGAAATGCTCACATGCCGATTATGCAACCCGTAAGTTCATCCAACAGACACGTTCCTCCTTTTTCTAGCATTATTCTCGTGCATTGATTAGTGCCTTAGAGCTGGAAGCAAAGTTGGCAGGCGGGTTGTTCTTGCATGTCGAGCTCGCCAAGCGCGATTCGGACGACGAACATTGGGACAGGCTCCTGCTTTTTGTGGGCCTGTTTTTCTGCACCTTTTTGAGCATTGTCCTCCACAGAATTCTCGTTGATTGCTTTAGACCCAGCCTGCACTGGGCTCATTTCCAGGGTTTGGAAAGGGCATCCGGCCACAAGGGCGCCAACTGCCAAGGACACAAAAATCAAGACTACACTGATCGATCAAGTCTTGGAGTAGAGATTTGCTGTATTGTGTAAAGATGTGAATAATAACTTTTTGTATGAAACATGTAGAGAACCCTACAGGGCCCTAAAGCATCAAAATCATTGAGGTCATGCTCAGAATCCATTGTCAACGCCCCTGAGATGGGCTTCAATACATGCGCTGCCTATGCTGCTGGAGGAGCAAAAGAGTTTGCGCGAGATGGCTCGATCTGCTTGCCAAGCCGAAGCAGAGGAGGCAAGAATCGACACTTGCATTGAGAGAAAAGAATTGACCCTCGGATTTGGCCCTTTGACGAGGAGAAGCCACAAATAGATGAAGCCAAATTACAAAGATGGAAAGATGCAACTTT